CAAAAAAAATGTTATTATCGCCAATATGCACTACAGTCAGACAGTCAAGTGTCACACATTTTTGTTGTAATCTATCCCAGAGGTAAGAGATGTGATGCTGTGACCGCGTACTCTAAACTATTACAAAATAAAATAGCATCAGCAGCACAAGGACTACAGAATGGATATATTTAATATATATATAATATTTAAATATTATACATTTTAACATTTGTTATTGAAAATTTTGAAATCTTATATGATGTATTATTAAATTAGATATGATCAGCTTCCAGCTTAAATAGGACACCACCTTAGATAGAAGGGTTAACCACAGGTAAAAATACAGGTAAATACTGCCAGTACTACTCAGAAAGGTTCATTCCCATTTATCCAACTTTTTGAAAAATAGGTACTACAGGTAAAAAGTTTGGGTTGGATAAGTGGGAATAGGGTATATTGTTAAAACAACAAACACTAATTGGAGCTTGGGTCAAGTGTTGGGTTAAAAATATGATACAGAAATTAAGTCCTTTTGGAAATGTGTATCTATATTCAAAGTTATTTCTATTATTTATGTTTTTTTTCATTGATTTATTGATTCTGTAGTTATGATATATGCTTTAACAATAAGACTAATTTCTATTTTCAATATATTTATTCAATTAATATCAGACATATATATTATTAACAGACATATTAAGTATTAAATATACAAAATAATACAAAATAATATTTATTTCATAAATTGATATAAAGCACTAGAAATAAGATGATAGCAATATGAATCATTTTACAAGATAGAAAAGTTACAATGTATAGTAAATTTCACATTTAAAATGTTTGAATTAAGCATTGATCTATATCAATCGAATATTATAGAGTCATATCAGTTCATTGAAGTTTCAGCAGGCGTGACACTGTGTCTGTATACTGGTAGATGTCGACTTCCCCTTGAATGAGTCGTTGTTTCTGTCGCTGTAGTCTGGAGTCTAGGATTCTGTATTTCAGCTCTCTTGACTTTCTAGTGCCACCAGCTGCATACTGGATAAGTCGGATCTCATTTGCTGCTTGAGTGTGCTGGAGTTTTTCGATGATGACGTAGAGGTTTGGGTGAGCTCTGTGAAGTTGGTTGTTGAGTTTGTGGTGCCATCCTTCTAAATGGTTTGTTGTTCTGGGTCCAACTGTTGAGTAGTGGTTCCATTTTGCTGTCTCCATCCCGATCCATTGCTCAGTAGCGTAGTCGTTGAACTTGGTGATCTTTGCGTCATCGGTCTCGTAGTCTTCAATTGCGTGGAACCATACATCATCTCCTTGGTTGATGGGGACTAGTGGCAATGCTGAAGCTCGTCTTATATGTAGGTTGAGGTGGTTGTCGTTGGTGTACTGGTCTGCTAATCCAAGTTTCTGTACCTTTCTCCATATGCGTTTGCAGTAGTGGAATAGACAACCTTTGATCGACGCTTGTGGAAAGACTGTCTCTGCTGCGTTACGGGCTGAAGACTCGAAGTCGAGGAATATAGTGGTTGGATTGAGTGGTGTGTTGTTGTTTGCTGCTGCTGTCTTAACGATCTCGATTAGGGGTTAGTAGGTGATCTGGCATTTGTCAGGTAGGAAGGCGAATATTAGTGGGTACATCTCGTCGTCTATGAGTGCATGCAGTGTGTACAGATGGGTGAAAAGTACAGGACTGGCGTAAAAAGTTCCATCCCCAAATATTGTGTCAGCGTTACTAAGATGGCGGAGGTTGTCTGTAGTACCAAATACCAGGATCTTGTTGTGGTAACCATCATCTGCTAGTAGGAATTGTGCTCCTGTAATAGTCTCTTGCCATTCTCCCAGGAGATTAATGGCATCACGTGTGGTTGGAAGTGGTGGTAGTTCACTGTTGCGTTCTCGGTACATAGCTGATTTGGTACTGACGAAAGTTGGTATCTGTTCAACGACCTGGTGTGTGTGATCGTCCCATTCTCTGTTTCTGAACTTGATGATCTCGCTGTCGTACAATGCGGGTAGTGGTTCTAGAGTTTTGGCTGCCTTTTCTCCGAGTGTTGCTAGAAATTTCTTGGCATCTATGTCAGCACGAGTTGGTTGGTGGTTGTGGTCTCTAGGAAAACTGGTTACCATGTTGTCTCTGGTGTTGACTGTGCCTGGGCAATCTTTCTCAGCGAACTTCCAGTAGGCTAGTTCTGCATCTCTACCCTGTTTTCTGGTCTTTATCACATATCTGTAGCCGTTTACAGCTAAGTAGTGGCCTCTAGCGTGTCGAATGTAGTCTACTCTTACTTGTGCGTTCGCCATGGTCAAACTTGAATAATGAATTTTGTCGGTGGGTCAGTGCTCATAAGCTAAAAACTAGCTTGGGATGCTTAGTGAGTCGTATTCAAAATAAATGAATAAATTAGTAGAAAAAGGCTTGGGTGCTTCTTTAACACTGTTCAAAGCTTATTAACTGTAATTAATTAGAGATATGCTCAAATCAGATTAATTGGGATTCTAAATGAATACTACCAAAAAAAAAAGTAATTATTTGATAATGATATATCAATTATTCATGCCAAAGTTAAAGATTGTCTTATTTCTTAAAATCATTTGATTGCTTTTTTCGATTCTATTCATATTTTTCATTCCTTCTATTTCATTTCTTTTTCCATTTAATTATATTTCTCATGAATATTTTATACATACTTTCACTTAAAAATGTATTAAAATTACATAAATGTATCCACTCTATAATACTTTTCCCTCTATCCATGGAACAATTTGTCTTGGTTATTTCACCTAGTGATTAAAATATACTACTAAACAAACATGCCCACAGGGCATAAAACATAAAGTTGGATAAATGGGGAGACACCCTCAGGGCATAAAACATCAAGTTGGATAAATGGGAATAGCTTTTTTCAGAAGTTGGATAAATGGAAAGACACCCTCAGAAACAGACTATAATCCTTCTAACAACATTCTCCTCTCCATGTTATTTTAATAAGTGGGGGAACTGATGAGAACAAGACTTTTCAAGCTATGCAATGCAATATCTTGTATTTCACACTGTGATAAACAATAGCCATACGCCCTATAATGGCTCCGATTCATTGGTTGTTTTTCACTGATCAGGTCAACCAACTGAAACAATACCTGTTCTGAACAATTAGCACCATTTTAGCGCTAAATTAACGTGGCGTCATTATTCCGTAGCAATACCACGCATTTGAATTTATTTCACCTTTAAAATTACATCGTTATTTCACAAATGGATATATTTCATTCACGCTAAAGCTACCGTTAATCGTATTGTTCTAATTGAAATGATATTTAATTAGCACAAATACAACTATCTTCCAGAGAGAGCGATTTTTCAGAGATCACTCAGGCACACTATTGTGCGCAACAAGAGGTCATCATCAAGTACAATATAACAATGATATGGTTGACCGTAAAGCACTCATCTTATTATGCTAGCGTACAATAATATAGTGGAAACTATAACACTCCTCATACAATGATCAACACAATATTACACTGTACTATCATACCTTATCATACAATGACACTCATCATACACTCATCATTCCCTAATATAGCCATGCAAGAAAAGCTTCAGACTTTCATTTTCATTCCTGAATATTTCATTGTCAAAGTTTTACATAAAATGGGAATATTTGCAACAAACAAAGCAAATAAAAGTCCACTTCTGTCAATGTAAAATAGCACATGTATATATACACAACATTGACATGAAAGATGTATAACCGCATACAACTGTATATATATATTATTATTTTCATTTGGGTTATTTATCACATGACGGGGAAATACTACTTCATGTCGTTCTTACGCGTTCGAGTTTCCCCATTCCAGGCATCTCTAGCAAAATGAGCAAGACTAGACCTAGTACCAAAGCATACGACAACAATGGCGCGGAAGCCTGTTCCTCCTTACTGTTTCCTTGTCGTCCTGTTTCGGTATGTCAAACAATCTGTTGTTATGTGAACAAATAGGCATCGATTGCATATTCCGTCTTTGCGTATTGCAGAGTTATCTTCTCTTGGGAGCAGGTACTGATTGTTACGTCACTTGTTTGTGAGAGTAACGTCATCAATTTTACAGAAAACGACGTAATTTTCTCGCACAAACCAATGACGTAACAATCAATACCTGCTCCCAAGAGAAGATAACTCTGCAATACGCAAAGACGGAATATGATAATCCACGTCATCTGTTTATGCTAGGGGAGACAACTCTCATGAAGAACTTGTATTCTATCTTGTGAAATGAATAGCGTATGTTTGTGTATCCGAAACATTGTGTTAAATCAATAGTGTCTTGTTCTTATCTACTTTAATAAATTGTTTGTTGGTAGGGGTAATCTAAGAAACCTTTTATGTTTCATATCCATGTAGCTGTGCAAGAAGTTCTTTAAAATAGCATTAAAAATACATTTCAATGTAGATCTTAAATAGTGTATAAATCCAATTCTGGTGAATCCTAATTAAATTCATGTTCTTACATATGTATAAAATATACTGCTGAATTTCGACACAAATCCCCATAATTACCTCTTTTTTAACAGTGAGCTTGTGGTATGTAGCAAATAATATAGTATTATCGTGAGGATACTCTTTTGCATAAGACATAGATTTCGTGCTCTTGTAGATAATGAAAGAATAGTTTGAGATCTTTCAGAACAGTTTCTTTGCCTCATTTCGGAAGTTTTCGATATTAAACGGAACAATGTTGGCGTTTACTGTCAGTGTGATATCGTCACAAACTTCGTCTTCAGATGTGTCACGGTCCTCGGCACTCACAGTAGCTGCGGGAACCGTAGCTTCTAGGCCCGATTTTTTTTCCCCTTTTTTTTCTTTTTTTAAAGATCGGGCCTAGAAGCTACGGTTCCCGCAGCTACACTCATGATCACATATGACGTAAACCTGACAGTTCCACATTTAATCCAACGTTTGGATTCTCTTCAGCAGATACATGACAGCAAAGTGTCTGAGCTAGCTGGTCGTGTTGCACACATGGAGAAACTTTGTAAAAAAGATTCGCAAAATATGAGTAATACTGGGAGGGAAATGATCGATTTGCTCCCAGAAAACAAATATCTAAAGGTCCGAGTAACCAGTCCTGAATTACAGCTTAATATTGCACAGAAAGAACAAAGTCCGCTGACCCGATCGGCCATTAGAAACAAGCGAGCAGGTAAGTGTCATTAAAATAGTATGTTGGTTAAACTCAATTTAACCAAATAAAACAAAGATACATAGAATTTATTTTGACAAAATCAGGATTTTACAGTCCTTTGACAGTCAGCTACAATATTAAATTTAAAAAAAACATATTTTAAAAAGTTGCGACGTTTAGATTTCTGCTCTTGGTTTTGCCATTGTTCATCAAGTTTATGTTCATATTATTTAACTGTGCTTGAATTCAGAACATCCTACTGAAGATTGTTCCATAAATCAACAGTTCTTTGAGTAAACGAAACTTTTTAAATATTTGATCCTGATTGCGATTTTTTAATGAACAGAATTGTATTATAAAACTACCTAATTCACTAAGCCTATTAAAACAAATTCGTACTTATTTTCCTTTTCCTATTTTTGACATCTGGAGGTGTCGCTTTTTTTTTTTTTTTTTTTTTTTTTTTTGTCGTCTCCTCTCATTATGACAGCTTTGAGTTTCTTTTTCTCTTTGTTTTTTTTAACACTTATTTACGTTTACGTATATTACATTATTTGTGTATGGTACATCCAGTCTTATATAAGTTTAATTTGCAATATTTAAACTAGTTCAAGTTATTTTTGTATGAATGACACATCTAAGTAAAGAAGGGTTATTCCCCTTGGAGCAGGAAAATGTTTCCAATCTTGGATGCAGACCATTATATTTCGTATCGATTTTATCTTTATCAAATTAGTCCCAGAAATCGTGTTGCGAACGCAGCAAAAGCACGATTTCTCACCCGGGTGATAAATCATGCTAGGGTGAGAAATCGTGGCGTAACAACTTTCCGTTTTCATAATAAACACACTTATGATGTCCTAGCTACAGAAACAAACGTGATTTTCAACATATTTTAGATCGTTTTATACTATGTAGAATTGATGGTATTAACTGTCATTTGCGTTAAAGCGGTTTAAGATAAAGATGTAAAGATACTGAATTTAGTATTTTTTGTCTAATTTTGTTTTGTCCTTTCATGGTTTACGTACAAGTTTCGGTTTTGTTTTGATGCTTTTTTTCCTCCTTTGGATAGATAGTCTTACTCATTAGGAATGTCGCCATCTGGAAACTTTCGTATTCATCAAACACATCGTGGAATTTGTCATTGCAAGTGGGCGTTCAGACTAACTACGGGTGTCCAGGGGCGTGTTCGTTTATGTGGAACAACCGATTTGTCCGTTTTTGAATGCATCTTTTTCGGGTATAAATCCTGGCGGACTTGCACATGTGTATGAAGGCCTTGCAAAGCTTTGTCAATGCTCGACTGACAGCAGCAGCATATTACTGGGTCCGACCTCATTTCATAAACAGACCACTTAACCGTTTCAACCGTTTGGATCGCGATAAACAAAAGCGGCCCTGATATGTGTATAACTGTATATGGTTATAACGTATGTGATTTGTATACACAGTATATTTGCTTGTCATTTTGCAGGTACTGGGGCCGCGGCGTTCCATGTCACCATGACACGTACAATGACAGGTCCAAGCACCAACGATATCATCGCGTTCAACAATGTCGTGACGAATATAGGTAGTGCTCAGTTCAGCACAAGCACCGGCGTCTTCACATGTAGCCATCCCGGCAGTCACGTGTTCACGTGGTCTGTGATGGTCAAAGGTCAACATTGGGTCGTCACACAGCTTCCCCAATATTGGCTCATTGGACACAGGTGATGATCTGTACGCTGTTTCCGGGTCCGGTACGGTGGCCGTAGAACTGGCCGCCGGTGATCAGGTTTGGGTTCGAGTCAGCAGTCACGCTAGTGGTGCAGACATCATCCCAGTTGCGACCACCTTCGTGCTTAAGTAATTAGTGTCACTGAGAATGAAAGTCACTTATCTATGATGTTCTGCTCTGTTAACTATAAGTTACCTTGTTCGATTGTTATGCTGCTTGACTGTCAATTACACAATGTATTTGTTTATTATCAACAAAAAATGAAATAATTCTAATACGATATTCAACTGTAAAGGAATCAATTTAATAAGAAAAAAAATTGTATTTCAATGATATTTCATTGAATATGATATAGCAATTGATACCAGTATTCTGCACAATTTGTTGACGCTACACAAGAATAGTTGATCTATGTTCTTAATTTCATTGATAAAATATCGGTACTGCTGTTGGCGTTTTCGGATTTGAGATACAGTAGAGGATATCGGGGAATTTCGCCGCACTTTAACATTCTGACATTCACCACTTTCGCTCTCCCCTATGAGGGCGAATTTATCATGACAGCGATTATTAATACACACCATACAAACGATATATAGTCTTAACATGTGAACAGCGAAATTAACACTAGGCGAATACGGATTCAAATGAGTAAAATTAAAGATTTCCATTGGACCAATAAACAGTTAACTTGCAGTCTATTGAAATTTCTCGTTACCTGTGATGTGCGTTAAAGCATTTTTTGCTGCGGTATTATTATATATTTTATACCCCCTTCTTTTTTAGCGTCACCATCATCATAAATTTATGTTGCTGTATTCGTTTGTGTGTTGCCTCTAAGCTTTGTATGTACTTGTTTTTTTCAATGTACTTACTTTTTACCGGGAGTTTTTCGCCCAGTCAAGCTTTCACCCTTCGCCAGAATAATTCATATTCGCCCCGATGTTAATTTTGCCATCTCATTTAATAACTGTCCATATTATGTTTATTTACTTCTGTTCGCTAAAGTGATAAATTTACCTTCATTACGGCCGGCGAAAGAAGGAAAAAATTAAACTGTAGCGAAAATTTCCCTGTTTACCGTATATCATCGCATTCACATTTCGCGCCTCTCAGAACTGTTCAAGTAACGCACGTCACACGCACCATGTCTTAACGTTGTAAGTTATAATCATATTACTTGACATGGTTAGGACTATATTACATTTAGCAGTTAACATAACTAGATGCTCTCAAATTACATTGTTTAGCAGAAAGAAAATGCGTTACACATATAATGTATTAGTGTCGCGAAAGTAAGTAAACTTTACAGTATTCGTAAAGAATTATGACTACCTGAAACTCACTCTTATAACCCAAAGATATTACTTAATGCAATACTTTATGTTATTCTACAGCTTGATAGGTGGTCGGGAGGCGCAGTAGATAACGCGCTGACTCTTTACCAAGACAGTCGGGGTTCGACTCCCAGATCGGACGCGAAAAGGTATATTGGGGTCACCTGCCTGACCACGGGGGTGTTCTCCGGTGACAATCTGGTTTCCTCCCATGTTACGACCCCCTTCGCAGTTCCATCCGGACCTATAAAAATGATTTTATGTAAGCTGGACAAAGCTTGTTTTATACCTGTTGTAAAATATACCAAGTTTATATTTACAGCAATACATAACGAGACTCCATCGGTCATTAAAAAAAGCGAAATACAACCTAAAAAACCGAAAGAAACTTTGCCTTTAAAATAATCCTTACATTAATAAAAAAAAAAAAAAAAAAAAAAAAAAAAAAAAAAAAGTCAATCAAAGTCGACAATTCATTTGAAACCCTATACACGCGGACTGATTCCGTGCTCATACCACTCAAAATCATCCTTTCATAAAACAATGAAGATTACCCGTTTATGTTTTTTTCATTGTCAACGTGAACTCTATAGCGATCACATGTCTAACATTCTAGTTCTGCGAATCTTAATAAATAAAGAAGGTTTTTTTCTATTTGATTGAAAGGTAACAGCAGTTTTATGAACTACCTGCTTTGTAGCTACGATCAATGAAGAGCGGGTCCATTCGACAGAGCATATGTTTCATTCACAAATAATCAATATGACGTGATGAGTTTGCCAATGTATTTGTGGTGAGTTATTTAATGAATTACATGTACATTGTTTATGCTGTAATTGTATAAACATGTAACAAACTGCAGCATTTTATTGATAAACTTGTCGACTGGTTTGGCCTGTTTGATCTGCTTCGTAGGCTTGGGAGTGCGATTTCCGTAACGTTGATCGAGTAAAGACTTTCTGGTTCATAAGAACTATTCTGGTACTCCCACATGTTATACTGTGAGTACACCCAAAGACCTTAATAGTTCCGGTCGTAGCCTATGCGGTGCAGTCGACAGGTACTGACCGCAGGTCAGTGATTTTTTCTCTCTGGGTACTCCGGCTTTCCTCCAGCACCAAAACCTGGCACGTCCTTAAATTACCGAAGCTGTTAAAAGTACTAGGACGTTAAACACAAACTAACCATACTAAACCATTGTGTTGTTATTTTCCTTGTTTGATCGCTAATAGGACTAAACGTTTGCTAGTGACATTTTGAATAGTCCTATTATTAACTAATATTGTTATTTTGACTTTATCTGGCTATTTTTTAAAACAAAATGACACTATTTCTATAACTTTACGTAATGATGACACACTAAATCGACATTCCAATGGACGCATTACGTAAAGTTCCACTAACAAGTACTTTATATGCAAGACGATGATATCACGCTGACACATACGTCCATTGGTCATTACACTGTATTATCGGTTAGCCTCTGAAGGAAACAAGCGTCGTCTAAAGTGAATCTGATAATGTCCGCTTGTAATCCTTTATCATGAAAAAACTATAGTTGACACACATACTTCACGGCCCCAACAATGACCATGCACACCTGATTAGGAGGAGGAAGCAGCGTGTTGGGTGTTTCCTTTGCTCTCAGGTTTTACCGATGTTTGTCTTCGACGAATGATGGCGTATGTGATACCGTTTAGAACTCCACCAATATTTGAAAACGTCGTCACCATTTGAAAAAATGTCATTGGTGGTTCTTCAAACAATAACCATATTCCAAATACAGTAGCAGCCCACCATTGAACGAAAAACGCGAAAAGAAAAAGGATCATGTTTCGGGCTGCTCGATGAGATGCACGCGAGGCGTTGCTGGAACTGCCAAGAGAGTGCTGCAATCGTTTGGCCTCGGATTGGATCCGGTAAAAGGTCAGGCCGTACAGTATGGCATTTGCTACCAGAATGAGGCTCATCGGAATCGTTGTCAGGCAAATATTGCTAATCTTTGCTTTGATTCCGTCAAAGAAACAACTGCAACAAATGAAAAAACATGAAAATGTAAATAACTTTGAGCATATTGAACTAGCAATTGTCACCCTGGTAAAACGATAGCTACTTTCCACTGACTCGGCTAGAATAATGATTCTTCAGCTCATTCCGTTGAGCGTCAGGGGTCTAGGGATCGTTCTTTATCGTAAACATGGAAATTGTTGACCCCTGTCACATAGGGGACAACGAGTTAAGGTTTACTGCACAAGGTTAAACACGACAAGTCAGTATGTGTACTGTAACCTTGATATAATGCCCCTCGTTCACGGCCAACATATTTCAATGACAATTTTCTTATTTTCTAAAGAATTCCTTTATACATTCCCATAAAACCCTTTATAACGCCAATTTTTTTCTGGGCAAATGGTGGCAGTACAACGTGGTTTTGCTGTATACTGCTTGTCAGTGCACTTACGGTACAGGATGTATTGTCACAAGGGTTTATTTATCGAATAGGGAAGCACACTCGCTGCTTTGTTCAGAAGACTATTCAAAGGTGTTTTTTGAAATCTAAATGTAAGTATTACATACCCGATGTTTGTACTTATTCTTCAAATCAATTAATTGTTAGGTTAAAAGTTCTTGGTGGTTGCACTAATTTCCCTTGACGTTAATTAAATAGCAATTTAATGCTTTGTTAACTTTTAAATTAAATGTTGATTGCAATAACAAGAACCATGACATTTCACCCATTAAGTAATATATTTATGTATAGAATTACATTGAGTTTCTATCAGTAATCGACTTTTAATCCTGAAGTGATATTAGCCGTGTCATTTTCGTTAATTCATCCACAGCTTTCCAGGTTTTTAAGACCACAGGTTCATTGTCGTTCTTCCTTCCGGATTTCTGACTTGTTACTTTATTTAAAAGGTGCTTTAGCATTTGATGAAAGCTAGTGATATTGACATGTATATAGCAGTCCAGTCAATGTCAGAAATCAATAAGTATCAATTTTGTTATTGCATTAATCTGAAATGAAACGGAACTGCTTTTTCATTATGATTATGTTATGCAAATGACGTATCCGCACTCCAAAGTCGAGTCGTTTGGAATATTATTATTTTGCAATATTTTATGAAAAAGAAGTTATATCATATGTAAATTTGAAATAATAGATACTCCAGCTTAATTCTGCAGTAGTATGTCCCGACAACCGATGTGGAATTACATGCCATGAACCGTTGTTCGAAATAAGAGGAAATCGATGTTGTTCGTCTCACTATGGGATTTAGTTTGGTACGTTAACTTTTGAGTATTGTGACATTTTCTGACAATGATTTTCTCTTTAAACATCATTTGAGGATGCTCAGTGTTACCCCTATTTCCAAGTGAACAATTATAAAGATCTGACATTTGTACGAATTCACCGTATTGGCAGTTGACCAACCCGCCCTTATTAACCTGATTTCATGGTCCTGTGGCTCTATTGGGGTGTCACACATTGCCGACATGGTTACCCTCTTTGTGGTCCTGTTTAATCTCATACATAGTTCTGATGGCAATGATGAAATAGCTTTTGAAGTTTTTCTAACACTGATAAATCACATTGTTACTCTCAAACCAAAGTAATGTGGTCGCGTTAGTCTCGGATTCAGTTTATTTCTTCACAA